CAGTTAGTTTATAGTGGCAGTGGGTTTACGATGCATCTACCGCACTCTCATCTCCCTCACTCACCTGAGTCCGGAGGTAAGACGGAGTCGAGAAGGCCGGATGTGAGAGAGGACGCAGGTGGCTGACACGACAAAAGCCCGAGCCTAGGCGTACAAACACACCCCTGGTCCACAACATGACAGTTCAACCATCGATTTCGATGATGTCCACCGTGTGCCCCACAGACTGCAGCAGCGGTGGGAGCAGGGACGGTGACTTACGCAAGGGTTTATAGTGCCAGTAGACTTGCGTAGCATCTACATACACTATCTCCTCCTCCCCCGCATGAGCCCGGTGTCAAGACCAAGTCAAGAAGACCGGAGACGAGGGAGGCCGCAGGTGGATGGCTCGGACGGATCCTCGCCTTGGCAGTCCACAACATACCACAAGAAAAATAGATTGGCGGCACGGATCCCAACTGGTGCGGCGTGAGCCTCCAACTGGGCGCGTCACCACACTCCAGTGTTGACATTTGTTATGGGTGCGTATTCCCCATAAACCCTGTCGAACTCCAATTAAGCCCCCGTGTTGGTCCAGCACACCAACCGCGTGACCCATTTTGCGGGCAATAAGTAAACTATATACGAAGTTTTTGATAGGCAGATGTCTATTAAAGTCACAGTAATATCGAGGAAATTGTAATGTGGATTATACAAAAGTACACGATTCCCGTGACAGAATTGTAAATCGTTGTGCTTCGGTCAGGTGAACGTACGTCCAAGTAGTCCGTTTTACAATAACGCAGCTGGGTGCCATGAACTGATGCCCTGGGCCTTCTGGTATTTTTGCCCCGCACATTTTGGCCAAAAGAGCCTACTGACTTTCAACTACTCTTGCTCACTGACTTGCACAGGGTGGCGGAGAGCACTGGCAAGGATCGGGCATGCTAAAACGCTACATGAGAACGGTTGCTCTTTCTTTCAGGCCTTATGGGACAGCTGTATAGGGAAGAGGACAGGAATATTTTGGTCATGTGAATGGCTTTCATGAACCCTCTAGTTTTTCTGCGTTTCAGTCTTTCTGTCCCCGGTTTTATCACACTGTCTTTGTCCCGCCTGATGTAAATGTCCCGAACCTCGATTCCGCAAGTAATCCATCCCCTATTTGAAGACGAAATGAAATTCTGCGTTGCCTAATCCATAAAAAGCCAATACAAAAGTGAAAGTCGGATTTCTTTTCTCTAGATGGGACGCCTATACTAAAAGTTAGCAGCCTTTGACTAAAGCATAAGATAATATTTTTATGGCACTAATCCGGCGGGAATTCGTCTAAAGCAAACATATACTCACCAACTAGCCTTATGAATCTTTCTTTGGGGATATTTCTAGTTCATCTTAATTTCTTTAAACTGTGAAAAACTCGGCGGGATTTGAATTCACGACACCAACACAGAGGCTTGAGTACATATGTTGCAGAAGACTGGGAGGGCTACTTGACCCAAATGTGATTAAACTCACGGCTTACATTGGGACTTCGTAGCTCAGGTGGCTAGAGCGTTGGCTGTACTCAAGCCTACCCCTTGCTGTCGTGGGTTGGAATCTCAATGAGGTAGCCGAGTTTTTCAAATTTTGATCAAAATTAATTATTCGAATACTGTCAAAACACTTGTTAATTATTTCAACTCATTTTTGCAGGCAAATCATAGTTGCTGACTCTGATTTCAAATCTGTCAACCGTCGGAAAGAAGATAAGATAGCCCGACAACAGATTAACCTCGCAAGACTCATACTGTTCTTCCGCACCAAACACACAGCGTGGCTTTGTTTTGTGAAGTATTACTTGGTTGGACGATTATTGATTTTCATAAGGAATATCAACATGTTTCTTCGGATTCCATTTACATCAACATTGGAAAATTATGTTAAGTAAAGCTGGATTATCGTTGGAAAAGCACACACCTTCTTGGGAATATTTGATCTATTACCCACAATCCTTTGGCAGACAGGAAGAATGTATCTGAATACAGAGGAGGGAGCGACAATCAGTATCCCTTGATGATATGGCGCGGTAGACAAGGTCGGTTAAAATCGGTATTTGTAACGGCCAAATCTGGAGACATCAAACATGAATTTGAAGGTCAGGGCAAATAACATGATGTTCTGGTTGGCGTCAATAATGCATATCAAAATCGACAAGACATGGAATACACTTTTGATGGCTTTTCTTGGTTTTGATAAGACCAACCTGTTTTCTTTACTACGCGTATTTTCGAAAGGCCTCTCAAGGTAGAGGTGTGAGAAACGATTTGAACCAAACACCCATTTATTTATTAAAAAAGTGTTTTAATTCTACAGAAGCACGCAGATCCACAACACTGAAAAGCATTCAGTTATGAAAACCTGCAGGAAGCCGGTGAAGACTTTCTCCCTCCTCACTTTTCCGTCCCTCTAGTGGCACTGTTTTATAGTAAAATCAGTCAAGACGCCGCCCTCCATCCTCCTGGTGCAGGACAGGATTACAGTGACGCATTTGTCACGGAGTTTGAGTGAATTCATTTAGTAAAATGTGGCCTGTATTGACTGAAAATAGTTAATTGGAGGAGCATTTGATAAGGATAGACACAACTGAGCGGACTCCTAACCTTATTTCTTTTTTATATGAGTATCTTGTCGACTAAGATGCAGTACTAACTTTTAGAGACGAGATAGACCTAGCAAAGCTCAGCTTGGCAGCAGAACAATTAAGTTTTGTTCCCATATGATCTTTAGGTCGAAGTCTAGCATGCGAACCCCAAAGATCTAAAATAAGGAGGCTTAAACAAAGGCTCCTCAGGAGGCAGAAGCGATCTGATATAGGTCTATATGACGACCTTTGCGTGATCTGTTTGTTTATTAAGACCTTTCAATCAAGTCTCCATCTTCTTCGCCAAAATCCCCACGGGCTGTCGATGTAGACTATTCCCAACTTTACTGTTATGCCTGCGCGTGTCAGGTCGGCTCGCCTCTCAAAGCAGGCTAACTATAACAAACCCTGCTTAATAATCAGTTTTCTTCGGAGTTCGTCAGTCCAACAACTAGCGGGCGTAGCTTCGATCAGCGTTGTATTCAAAAATCTGAGATTTGACCGGGCGGAGTTGACCTCTGCGGTCGACAGTTGCCAGTGTGAGGTGACCAGTTTTCCTCCGGCTGCCCCCGAGTAAACGCTAGGACGATGTCTTCTTTAAGAGCTAGGGTTTGAGATTCAGGCAGCCAAACCCCACTTGTTTGCGGTCTTGTGGACAAGTAAACGTCAGATTCAATGCATGGAGCTTGCTGGTAGCGCACCTGTCAACTTAAATAAATAAAATGATCGACTATGTTGTACCCTTGATCGGAAATGATGACGGCGAGAGACTTAGTATTCAGGCGCTAGACAGCAAACGTAGCACCACTATCATCGTTATTATGACTGATTCTCATCTTTTACTGAACTAGGAGGCCTAACTTTAGTTGACTATAGGACAGTGACAGGTGACGGCTCGACCGTCGCATCCGACGATGTCCACCGAGTGCTCCACAGCAAGGTGAAGTAGGCACGGTGACTTGCGCGTGAGCTAGTTTATAGTGAATGTGGACTTCCGCGGCATTTACTGCACTCTCTCCTCCCCACCTGGACCCGGTGTTAGGACATAGTCTAGATGACTGGATGCGGATGAAGGCGCAGGTGGATAGTACGGTCGAGCCCGCACCTTGGTGTACCACTCCACATCCCCTGGTCCACACGGCAAATGACCAGGTTTTTTAACCATCAACAAAAGGGACTGGCGCGGTAATAAAAACAAAATGCGCTGAGTCGTCGACCCTTACTCGTCTTTCCCATTCCCAGGACCCAGCCACTGTCCGAGCCGGTCAGTTAACTGCTGCGGGAGATGGGCGCGGTGTCTGACATATTTTGTGACCTTGTCTGCGCGAGCTACATGCACGACCTGGTCCCATAAACGAAAGCACCAGGATTTCACACAATGGGGATCGGTTGGTGTACATCTCACATGCATGAGGATGCCGTAGGTCACGTTAATAAGGAGCCGTGTCGGCCTGGCTCTCAGCTTACAAGTTCGCCACTCCACACATACACACACACAGCTAGGCAGACTGCGTGGACTGAGCTGGGGCGTCAGTCAGCAGCCTTCCACGCCACGGCGCTTGACGCGTCGTGATAACGTCGGACTCGAATTACGGATGCAACATAGAAGCCTCATGGAGACGGAGTCGAGACGCATTGTGCTCACTTGCGTGGGAGGTGGCAGTTGAATGCTTATGGTAGATGATGATGTTGCGTCATGTAGGTGGAGGAAAATGTGATGGTGTGGTATAACCGGCGGTTGTCTACCACAGGTTTTCGTGGATGCGCATGCGGCCTACTAGACTCATGCAGTGAGCGAATGTGCGGGTGCAGTGAGGGCAGTTGAGGTGGATGCGACCAGTGTATGCGGGCGCTCCAGGTACTGGTTCGTCACTCTGTGTGAGATGGATTCTCACGTGGCCGACCAGGCCGATGTGTAAGGTGAATATACGGTGACAGTGGGGACAGGGGAAGTCGGCGGTGTCAGTGTCGGTTTCGGAGTTGGTGGCAGTGGTGGAGCTGATGATGGTTGACGCGTTTGGCGATAGGGTGTGCTGGGCGGCGTGATGAGGGTTGAGCTAGGCATATTGGGTGTTCAGGAAGTGCTCGGTGTGTCGAGACTGCGGCCAATTCCGCTCTCGTGGATACGCTTGTGACCGAATAGGCCCATACGATGAGTGAATGTGCAATGTGGACAGTGGGGGCGAGTGCGGTGGGTGGGGGTCGGTGCTCCAGGCGCTGCTTCGCCAGTCCATGTGCGATGAATTAGCAAGTGACCGACCAGGCTGATGTGCAAGGTGAAGGTGCGCTTTTCAATTTGGCGCCGTTCACGTTCGTTTGGGATGCGACGTAGACTGCGTCGGGTGGCAGTTGATGCATAGCCACCGTTTTCTCCGTATTAATGATTAAGCCGAAGTTGTCACAGGCGACAGGGACGGTTGAGGACGCCTCTGAAGTGCTCGGCCCATCGTTGAAAAATTGGTGTCATCTCAGTGAATAGAGTACTGCCGTCTGCGCTGAGAAAATGAGCGGTGCCTTTGGCTGCGAGATCGTAGACTGCCCTGATCACGGCAAAGAAGTTCTTCCATTCGTCCATCCATCCTTGGATCTCGTCGGCCTTGCGAGCCATCCAGGCCTCCTGCATCTCACGCAGCCGCTGTTGCACAAGGCAACGACTACGGTAGAAGGCTGGGTTTTTGTCGTCGGTAGGACGATTTACGTGGACTTTATTCAGGCGGCTATTCTCGACGAGCAGGTTGCTGGTGACAGCGTCGTTGTCATCGAACCAGTCCTGATGTTGGCGACTTGCGCGACTGAGGACAGCCAGGGCCGTCGAATGGACTCTGTCCGGCAGTTGACACCATCGGTTTTCCACGAAGTAGTCCTCATCAGAGGCGGCGGCGGCGGCGGCGAAAATTGAACGGTTGACTAATTTTTGAGTTGGCTCATTGCTGAAGTGGAGGTGGTGAGCGGGCAAAGACAAAGCAGTATTCGGCTTACATAGGGGTCGCTTACCTTGAGGTCTCCTGTGGGGCTAGAGGCGGATGCGCATCTCGGAGATGACGAGGCGATGGTCGGTCTACCCGTCGGCACCCGAGAATGCCTTTGTCGTCAGCACGTCCCGTTGGTCTCGCCTCCAGACGAGGACGTAGTCAAGCAGGTGCCAGTATCGCTGTCCAGGGTGCATCAAAGTCGCCTTCTTCTGCGTCGGAAGGCAGAAGAAGGTGTTGGTCAGGGTGAGACGGTGTTCTGTGCAGGTTCATAGGAGGAGCAGGCCATTGTCATTGGAGCCATGGAGACCATGGGCACCAGGCACTCCACTCCATGCAACATGGTCAGTCCTGACGCGGACGTTTCAGTCATCAAGGACAATAAACTTATCCGCCCTCGGCACAGACGCCAGGAGGGCGTGAAAATCCTCATAGAATTTGTTCCCTGCAGTGTCAAAACTGGTCATCGGGGAACGTAGACGCTGACAATGGTGGCGAATTTGCCTCCCCTGGGAGGCAGGCGGAGGCTCGTCAGGCGATCCCTTGTGTCCAGCGGTAAACAGGCAGGTGGTTCTACGATGTCGTTCTGGATGACAAAGGCAAAGCCCGCGTCCCGTTGCTTTGCCTTGGGGCGACCACTTCAAAAGAAGATGTCACCGGCACCCACCTCCTCCAGTTGGTCTTATTCAAATAACCGGGTCTCGCTGAGTTCGGCGATGTCCACCTTGTTGCGCGTCAGTTCCCGAGTCAGCAGCGCCGTCCTCCGTTCCGGTCGGGTGTTCCTTGGACGGTCTAAAAGGGGACGAACAGTCCAGGCTGCCAGAGTGAGCGGGCTCACACTACCAGTCTGACGAGTGGGGCGGCGGGGAGGAGGAGGGGAAAAAGAAAGAGTGTTGTTTCTTGTTTGGTTGTCTCGACCGTGTGTTTTGCGTCCGCGGGCCACGGTCAGAGCGCAGAGCGTATTTGTTTAGGACACATTTTCTAGCCTCGTCTCCCTAGCGGGGTGAGCAGTGCTCTTCCCACATAGGGCTGCTCAGACATCCCAGACGGCTGACGAACTCCACTATGGGCCACGACTTTGTTTAGTGGGAGAACGATCTGACTTAGCCTGAGCCGCCTACGTGATCGTTGTCGCTCTCACCGCAGGAGTTTTTTAAGGCGAAGGAGGGGAGATGGGGAAGGGTAGAGAGACGGGAAGCAGAGTTTCCCGTCCCTCTCTAAGCTATCTGATTGCTGAGATATAAACGGTCAGCATACAAATTCAACTGAACGGTATTCGAAAGAACGGCATTTAGCCTACAACAAGGACAAGCACAGACAAGCAAGAAAGCGCAAGCAATCAGGAGCAGGCAAGGACATTAGAATAATAATCGGCTTACCTGGGGGATCACTTACCTTGTGGACTCCGGCGTGGTTGTGGATGAAGCTTCGTCTTGGAAGTGGTTATGCGGTGGTTCGTGAGACTTCCGACTGTGAGGTAGAGTAGAGCGGAGGGTAGAGAGAATGAGGGACAGAAGAGAAAGATGGGGAATAGGTGTGAAAGAGAAGTAAAGGGGCGGCCTTCCAGTCACTGGGCCAATAGCCTATTGAGTGCTTGTGGCCTCCTGCGGGGTTGCAGACGGAGCCTCATCTCAGAGAAGCAGAGACGGTGATTTATCCAGCCATCGACGGTGGGAGTGGAGCCGAGTTACTGTGTGTGGAGATGCACACACGAATACCCTCATCTGGTTTAGCACGCCGGTCGAGGCAGTAACCGGGGTGTGGCCGCTAGGCAGGGGCTAGCTTCGGGGAATCAGAGGTGAGAGTTGGGTGCCAGTTAATGGACGCTAGACGTAGTCTACACCTGCAAGCAAGTGAGCGACCTACTATGACCAACACGTAAACCCACAACTGGACATCCCTACGCCCCCCCCCCCCCGAGTGACAGGTAAATGACATTAATCCTTAAATAAAATTGTGTGCATGAGCTCAGTTTTATTCCCTAGAACCCACCGCGAAAGAAGTTATCTGAACACATACACAGTTACCCTTATTATGAAGTTTGACGTTTAAATTGGTCCCGACCAATCCTGAGTTTTCTCTTGTCATCATAAGTCCGTTTGCGCAGCATGGGTGGATTAGATCTACCTAGCAATGTACAGTAACTGGTCATATTGCGAATTTCGAGACAACGGCTTCATGGGATTTCCATAACACGAAGACTGTTGAGAACGCTTCAACTTGTCCGTAAATATCAATATTTATTAACAGGGGAAGGCTAACACACCCACGTGGATTGCTCAAAGCTCGCACGGCGTCTCCAAAAGACTGTAAACCTGGAAGTGGAAGGGCGTGTTGGTGGGTCGGTCGTTGAGTCCAACATGGTTATGAACGCTTTTTTGCAAATGTACACTCTCGAAATAGGGGAAACGTTGTAGTAGCGCCCACAGAATTCCCATTGGTAGTTAAAGGTAGTTATCGACCAGAATGTTAAAAGCACGCGGCCTGGAAAGTAACTTACATTCCAATTTTTTAAAGTCGACATGAGAAGCTTTAAACAAAGTGAATAATCATAGTAGTCCAGATAACCTCCTTAAAAAATTTACCAAGGCTGCGATTATACCAATTTCCGGAGAAGGCACTTAGGTGAATTCTCGTTCTCAACCTTTCTACTTGTGAATTTGTAGCCGCCTCGATCAAAACTTTCCGCACGAGCTCTTCGTTTCTTTCTCTAGTAGATGAAGACTAAAGGCCACTTATGGTGACGAAGTACCGAAGGTAGTCTTTCGTAAGATTTATAGGACAGACCGTACGTTCTCAGCAAACGCAAAAACAATTACCGCTGGAAGCAAAGAGAATCATGCCCGATGACGTTTCAAGACCGGGTGAAGGTGTGTACATAGGGACACGTTTAACATTAAGATGCAAGCATTCGTCTCCACTAACTTGATTTAGCGCCCTCAGAGAAGGCAAACTGTCACCTTAGTCCAACCCAAAATGTAGTCGACTCGTTTAGTTGCACTCTTTAAAAGATACTACTCAGAAAACGTAGTCCAAAATGATTTGGCAAAGGCACGACAGTTCGACCATCGTGCCAGACGACTTCCATCGCGTGCTCCGCAGCAGTGTGAAGCAGGCACGGTGACTTGCACGTGAAGTAGTCTATAGTGAGGACAGACTTGCGCAGCGTCCACCGCACTCTCTCCCCTTCCTCGACCTGGGCCCCGTCTAAAGACTTAGTTAAGAAGACCGGAGGCGGAAGAAGGCGCAGGTGGCTGACACGACTGGACCCGCACCTGGGCATACTGGCACACTCCCTGGTCCACAACAAACACTTGATCAGGAGTTTTACCAACAACAAAATATACGGGCCAGAAAGAGAATGATTGAATAGCCATGCACGCGAGCTGCATACCCAGCGGGAGCGCAAGCGCTTCTACCAACAGAGAACCAGGTCGCCAAAGGCACACCCACGCATACCATCCTCCGTGTATATCCAGCAGGCGCGCTCCAACTGAGCTTCTGAATCAGTCTGTGCATTGCGACAGCGCTGACTTGCGGAGCCAGGCACCACGGCAATCGAGCTGCGAAAACCACTCATGTGGACCCTGCAGGTGCCGTCGGAGACCGTTAAATTTGTCATGCTGGCACAAAGTGCGGAGTGAGGCAACTATCTTGACTGACAACCAATTTACATCATCCAACCATTTATTCACACCACCAGAAACGCATGAAGCCGGCTGGCCGGCAGTGTTCGAACTAGTTCGTTTACATGCTACCTACCAATGCATTATAGGCCTGGGGGGACACAAAACATCCCCCAAAGGTACCCTGAAGTGGAAGATGCATAGTGGGCCTCTGCAAAGTTTAAGCATTTTAAAATACCTGGCGGTTTAACGGCAATCCACCAGTAGATTATCGTCGAGCTATAAAACTACGGCAACCCATGGGACCCGGCTTTTTCGGGACTGTAAAATACCCTTCTTACTCTTAAACCAAAACTTATGATGCCTAGCTTGCTCATCTGAAAACTTAAGGACTGCAATTGCATAACTTCCAAGGCACGAGTGCCGCTGTCTACAGAAAACTTGAAAATAATGGTCTAGCTTCCGACACCACTCGTTTGCAAAATTGAGCAGCACCCTAGACCAACCCTTTGTCTGCACCAACCCTGATGAATCCAGTCATCAGTCCAGCTAGAGGAAGGCCACAACCCGACGATGAGGAGGCCAGAATCCATTGCAATTAATGGAAAGGTAGCACAAGAAACGGTGATGTTGACAGGCTGGCTAACGCAGAATGGTTGGAAAGAGAAGAATTTTGACCGTATTTGCCACACCACGACTGTTTTCTAATGGCTTGGAATTACACCCGGTTCTGGAGTTCTACTTGTTACTCTGGAATGTTAAAGACAACCAGCGATATTTTGCCCATAGTCCTTACCTTGTAAGCCGCGACTGAAAAAGGAAGGCAAAGTAATTTAGCAGTTCTTTTTACGAAAAGTGAGTGGCTGTTCAGACTAGTTATCGTTTGTACAAAATAAATGGATGAATGTGGTAACAAAGCAAAACACCTCAAGCAAGAATAAGGAAACGGAGATTTGTCAAACTTTAAACACAGAGCCATGAAAGTACAATGGCAGATTGGATATGCAAATTTCTGAAGCCAAAACCAAATGTGGGGTAGTGACTATCACAAAGAGATCAAAGCCCGGCTCAAGCAGAAGCATGACAGGCTTTAGAAATGGGAATGCCGGTAGAAATTCGTCTTCTGATCTCCAACCTACGTTTGCTTAGATCGGGAATTTACAAAGAGGGTGTGATTCTCCTCCTCATCGTCGTAATCGTAGTTCATCCCCGAATTCAGAAAATCCGCCTCACGTTCTGAAGTTGCAAGTAGTCCGTACTTTTTTGGTTTACGATGCTGCCGTCTTAACCTAGAAGTAGTTGAACAACAGGTTACTTTTCAAACGGTTCAAAAACATCCAGGTCTATTACCAAAAATTGTGGACTGTTGGACGTGAAAGGGTAGGTATGGTGAATCTATCCTATCTTTATTGGAAAAAAGCGTAAATAAGGACTTTTGTGAAGAATTTCTAGGCAAAAAAGTACCTTGTTAATAGTCTCCCAAGCTGACTACATGCACGCCGGTCCCAGACCTCTCAAATGCAACCGAAACAAAACCTCTATGTAAAACCAAATGGCTGTTTACTAAGAGAGGGATCCTTTTTCATATTAAGCCGACTGCCGAGATTGGGCACATGCCAAATCAGATGCTTCCAGAGTTTTATCAATATATTCATGATATTACAAGTGATACCGTTAATCATATGCTAGACGATGTAAAGTTGCTAGACGGAATGTTCCAATAACTTTCATTCATCTCACGCATACGGCAAAAAGAAATAACAGCTAAATTTTAATTCGTGCCGAATTCGGCAAATACTAGTATTTTAGTTATGTCCTCGGGACTCCAAAAGTACGTCCAGGCCTAGGGTTTGAGTAAGATGTATTGCATAAATTCGGCACAAGAATTCTGCCTTTAGTAGCGCTCTTACGTTTACTCTGTTCTTTGTATAGTGCTGGTGGAGTATGTCATACTATTCTTCCTGATGCAACATTTTTATCGCTTACACAGCACAACCAAAAACTTAGATTAGATTGCAGAACAATTAATAAGAGGTGGTGTTTTACCGATCGGATTGCAGAAAGGGGACCTGTGTATTCTGTTCTGAATTGTATATCTACCCCAGGTCCATTACAGGCCGCATAAATTTCCCATAATGTAAAATAGTATTCAAGTTGTTAAAAAGGTCATAAAGCAGATTGGGCACTACACAAATCGCATGATATATATGCAAGCCAACTTAAAATCCAAAATATAACAAAATTAGGGTGACACTCAAGCAAAAATCGTCCGAAATGGTATAGGTTAACATTTGCTTAAAAAGCCTACCGTATGCAGCAACAGCAAGTAAGAACCAAAAATAGGAATGCTGCTACGAGGAGGGCGATGGCGATACCAAAGACCAATTTGTCATCCAGGTGAAACACTTTTCCAATCCCGTAGAAGCTTGATGCAGAGCTATCCGTTGGTAGAGTACTGTTATCAAAACGCGCAGGGCTGCCCGACTCAATGGAATCTGCGTTCATGCGCATAATTAAGCCTTCCAAGTCCGAAAATTGTGCTGTTTAAAAAAAAACATACCCGTGATATCTTAATGGTGACTCTGTTTGCCTAAAACCAATCTTCTAAGATGGAAAGACCTCCGAATGAAAGTCTCATCAGACGACTAAATTGCCCATGTTTGATTAAGTATCTTCAGCGTCTTCGAATGACGTTGTAATAGGACTATTAGATAGGTAAGGGTCTTCATGTACTGACAAAAGTAGAACTATGAAATCTCTAAAGAGAATCTACTTTCAAAGTACACGTCGAGCTCATCGTGAAAAATTTCCCCGTCAGGAATCTTGGAAATCTGTCCGAAGTTAAAGAATTGCGGCGTAATCTCTATATACCGTTAAAAACCAGTCGAAAAGTGAATTATTGTTTCAAAAAAGATAAGTAGAAGGTTAATTTTTTGTTAAATGGTTTAAAAGATTTTTGGACATATCACATGCAAGCTGCTGCATATCAGGACGTATGCTGATAGCATGCGAGAAGAGATCTAAGAACTGTAGTACCCCGATTCCGTCTACCTCATCAAGATCCATTTGTCTAAATAATAGAATATAACGCCGTGTCCGCAATAGTAGCATATTGCAGGCGGATAAAAATAAAAAATAGCAATTAAAGTCTAAAAAATACAATGGGTAGGCTGCCATCCCGTCTGAAAAACTAGCCCATAGTAATTCCGTTATCGCACACCCAAATGTACGTTCGCCTCCTATCGCATGTGCAAATTATCGCACGCCTCCATAAATACCTCATCATATTATTATCCTTACAGTAGTATTCGGCTGCACTAATGCTGTTGCGTTTTTGAAGAAGCAACTTTTTATTCCCCCGCCAACTCAACAGATACCTGCAACCTTGACAAAGAAAGTGAGTATATTATCATCCACCAAGGAACGTTAGGACAAACATCGCAATGGGCATTAAGATTAAAGATGTACAAACCAAACACTGAACGCAAAGGCAGAAAGCTGACCACCGTTGAGAGCTTCTGGATTAGTTTATTATCGAACTTTACTAAACATAATTGGCCATTAATAACTTTCAACGTCCACATGAAATAAATAGATCAGGATCACTGCTATGTTACAATCAGTCGCATTTTACTGAAATTGAATTTGAAAAAAGACAGCCGGGTTAGATAGGGTGTTCAGATGCTCCAAGAGGCAGCTCCTAAGCCAGCCAACTAGCAACCAAGTAATTACTTTATAAGCTACAAACGTCCCTTAACGAGTAAATACACGCAGGTCCAAGCTGTGATATCAAAAATAAAAAACGACAGATTTTGAAGAAATTTAAATTACACCACAGGCTTTCGGTCAAAGGTAACCGAGCATTTCTTTGCCGAATTATTGCATGAACCAACAAGCCATCCTGTACTACGCAAATAAAAGGACTTGTGCTGAATATTACACTGAATGTGGAATGCTAAATAGAAATGCCCACGTACTACAGTATGTGTTACGCATGCCTTATATAATTAAATAACGACTAGTTTCGTTGATATAATTGCTATTCCAAGTACAGTTAACGTGATGTGTGGAGCGTCATAGTGTCATATAACAGAAAGCAAAGTATATACCTGTTTCCGAGTAAACGAGTAAACGCGCACTCACCTAGCGCGTTATTCACAGTCGAAAAACGACACTGAATTATACTGAGTCAGGTTTCTCGAATTAAACTAGCACGTGGCTCTGAGGCGTCAATCGTGGAGGATTTGGGCCCTGGATTATGAAGAGACTTAAAGAGTTTAAAACAATGGGCCGCCTTTTTTAAGGATCTGCAAGCGTTTTACGTCCGAAGGCTTAGTTTTAGACCATTACGCAGGACAAATCTTATAATCAATGGTGAGAGTGTAGCGTAAATGCACAGGCTGTTTCTTATAATGAAAACGTCAGAATCTCGGGAATATAAGGTCTGAACCGCGCAATTGGTTTGTTTGTTGTGCGTCTCAGAGATCCGGTTTTGGGCGAAATAGGGAATAGGACAAAGCGCGACAGATGGGAGTATGTACAAAAGCCTGGATTAGCTTAAAAGCCAGGCATTATGCCTTTCATAGAAAAGTGTATTTCGCGGATATTGCGGAGACTGAAGTATCACTCAGGGGATACCTAAACTTTACAAGACGTAGGCCAAACAATGTGAGACGAGGCATAGGTTGTCACTTGCAAGTTAACTGTTATCAATAAAGTACATAATATGGAAAAAGATTTCGAACTCTCACGCATCACTATTTGCAATCACAATTTCTGCCAACTAACGCAATTGGAGGCATGCCGCTTGCCCAACTGTTGTTAAGTATAAAAAGGTAAATGTAGAGGAGACATCTGAAACTAGATTACATGGTCCAATAAAGACCATTGGAGGACATGCAGCTCGCAGATGCATCTTAGATAGATAGATAGATAGATAGATAGATAGATAATTTTTATTAAAGACCCGTCGGGGTCCCATCAAAGCAAGTTAAAATAAATTTGCATGCGAGTTTTAGACGAGGTAGGCCGAATCTTTACAAAATGCAATTCATAGTTTCTAAATTAGAAGTCCATTGAGAAACATGATGATTGAGGGGTGAAAAAAACTCCTTGGAAAAAGTTAAAAACGATTGAATTAATTTTACAGGAGAAAAAAAACCCTCTTTAAAAAGAATAACAGAAAAAAGCGAGCAGGACTGGACTGTAGGTGGCGGTATATAACGGAATGTTTTCGCTCATCGTCAGGGTATCAATAAATGTCCGCCTTGATAGGTACGAATGTGGGTCAGACAGGACTGGCTTGCAAATGGCATTGTATACGGGATTCACAATTGAGATCGTCTGGGCCGAATTGGTACGCCGCGTCAAAGAGGCCAGACGAGAGGAACCGAGATGCGATCGGCCACAGCACGCTTCGAGCTCAGCCGAGCAGTGAGGAAGGGAGGTACGACCGAACTACTAGTAAACAGTGAAGACTGAGGGTTCCGCCGTGTCGACAGACCGCATGAGGTCAGAATGCGGGAGATGACATCAAAAACCGCGAAAATTGTCGCTATGGGGGAGAAGGATAGCGATGGATTTAGAAACCAATTAAAAACAGGGGTTTCTAATGATATAATTAAGAGTTACCA